TGGGATTATTGATCGAACATCATACAGAGGGCAAAATTATCGTACAAATACGATAATTATCGTACACCTGGCAACACTGATGAGACACGCTTTGTATTTTAATTTTAATTCCAGTATTTTAAAACAAAAATCAAATATCCACTCATTTCTTGTTTTTTTAATCCCTGTTTCGAAAACGAAAATCCAATGAGCAAAAGATCCACTGACCCTGCAGCAGTGGGACATGTAAACTCACCTGTGCCCTCTCTGATCAGAGTGCTGAGCTTTGTGCTGAAGAGAACATCGACATGATTCAGGATGAACTCCACCACCACAGACTGGATCCGTACTTCCATGAAGGCTGCTGTGCCACTGAAGCAGGCAGATTCAATCTGTTTGGACCTGAAGGAATCACAACAAAAGGGGCTTTAAGAACATTTCCTATGCATCTTAAAGAGACCTGCAGCTGGTTTGACATTTTCTGTCAGCTAACGGTCCAGAATGAGCACGTTAGCAGGGGAAATATACAGCCTACCACAGTCTCTCCAATGCTAKTACCAGCTTATCCATGCTAGTTGTTAGCCTCTTCAATGCTAACATAAATAAACGGTCTCGTTTACCAGCATCGGCCTCTCAGTTAGCGGTGCTGGCCTATCATTAATCAGATCAATACATCTTAYCCTCCTYCTACCAGAGGTTTATAGTAACTAAGTACATTTACTTTGTTTCAGTACTAAAGTAGTTTTTTGAGGAATACAATTACTTTTTTAAACGGCTACTTTTACTTTTATTTTGTTACATTTTAAAGCTAAATTGTAACATCTAGTTACTTGTTACAAAATCATGAAAGATGTTTCTGCTCTAAAGAAATGAAGTGTTAGCTCCACTAAACCTGGTTGAGTAAATTGAGCAAATAATATCATATATTGATCAATTTACTCAACCTGACTTGGTGGAACCAGTTTGGTTCAGTAAATTTAACAGRTTATTTCTTAGAGTGTGTAAAAGTACTTTTACTTTCCCAATTTTTGTGAGCAGTTTTATGACTTTTACTTGAGTAGTTTTCTCATCAGTGAAATTTACTTTTACCGAAGTCATTTTCTATTCATGTAATTTTACTTTTACTTAGTTATTTTTTCCAAGTACTTTATAGACCTCTGCCTGCTACAAGGATGTAACAACCGCTGGTTGCACAGCAGCCTTACTTATGGCCCTCATGACCATCCAGTTCAGGTGTATGGTGAGCTGAAAGCAGGTAAGAGAGTGCAGGGGGAACCTGACAGCGTCAACAAGAGCTTTAGAGACATCCAAAACACCAGCACTTATAATAAAATACACTTTTYGTGTATTTAATTTTAGTTTTAGTTTAAAATAACACTTTTAAATTCATCTATATRAATTTTATCTCATTTTTTTGTAAACTATCTTGACAGCTGAAACTTATCCAACAATAAAAATCCATCATGAGTTCCACTCAGCTGAAATAAAATACGCATTCCATGAAATAATTGTTTAATTAGTGTCTCCACCTGATGTAAAACCTGTTGTACACAGAACCCTGTGCCGAGCAGAGCCTCTCACCTGAGCAGGTTGGGGGCCCAGACGATGGCCAGGTTCTTACTGTGCATGTTGGTGATGTAGCTGAACGCTGCCAGGCGGGACAGGTGTCTCATCAGGAACTCCAYGGTCCTAAGAGACAAACATCCATTTACCAACACTTAACTCAGAGCAGTACTGATTTATTTTTACTGTGGTACCAGTTGCAGTCGTTGGACCATGACAGAACAGCAGCTTCAGGACTAGACATGACTCAGTTACTGGTTTAAAAGTATATCAATGTGCTTAAAATTCCCAACTGATGCATTTTTATTTACATGATTTGGCTGCCTTTTAATAAAATACCAGAGACAAAGATTTGTTGTTTTGTTTCAGTTTCCTCTCCTAACTGTTGAGCCGTGGTTCAGCTGGTACAGCAGATGAGAAGGGATTCCATAAACCTTCACTTTTACTCCATAAACTAAACCTAATCTTATTATAAATAATGGTGTCATCTGTATAAAAATGACAGGGAGCATTTGAGAAAGTATCACAAATATGGGAGGATTTTCCTGACTTAATCCAAGAGCGTATATTTTCAATTTGAGAGCAGAATAATATGTTTTTGCTCTCACAACTTTATGTATTTGCTCTCAAAACTTAAAATGCTCGCACTCAAAACCTCTGCTCTCTTTCAAATATGCTCTGCTCTCTCTCAAACCTTTCCTTTCTCGCTCAGAATTTCTCCTCACGCTCAAACTTTCTCTCTGCACAAATCCAAACTGCGCTCTCGCYGATCACTTTTCTGCTTGTGGATTTTTTTCTGCGCGCTCACGGATCAGGGAGTACCGTCTCCTAGCAACTGTTCCAGCCAATAGAATGAAAGCATTAAACTGGGCAGAGACAGCCTGCTCTGGGGTGTGTTTGTTTCCTTTCAGAGGATGTGCCTGTGTGTGTGGATGCATAGATTTTTGCATGATCTGCTCTTGACAGGTTAATCAGTGTGCATTGCCAATGCAATGCACACTATTGTGATTCGTTTCCCATCAAAGTCATCTCAACTTTGGCACGCTTCTCCTCCTGCAAACTTTGTCCTAGAGC